CTCTCTCTCTCTCTCTCTCTCTCTCTCTCTCTCTCTCTCTCTCTCTCATGGAGAATGGATCTGCGGCCTTAAAGATGAGTCTTTATTATTAACTAAAGCCCAATTCAAAAAGATTGTTAGATCTCCAAAGCTCTCTCCATCTTTGGTGAAATGTTCATTCCCTTCTCACTATTGTTTCTATTTATTTCCTTCTGACTTGCCATCGTTTCTTCTTTAGTTCAGGTCCAGCAATAAACTAATTTGTGTTCCACTGATTCTGATTTGCAACTCTCCCTGTCTCAAGGCTCCTATTATTCAGAACCTTATAAAAATAAAGCAGATGCATTAATTGCTTTGTTAAATTTAAATCTCCTTTTTAGAAGGAGAATCAAAGCCAGCATGACTAAGTCTCCTTGCCTACACTGTGGTGCAATGTATATAGGCAGTGGAGAGGTCAACCTGTAACATCAAAGTACAGAAGATCCTAATAGGGTCACTGGATTAACAAAGGATTTCTCAGAGTAAAGAGACAAGTTAGACAAGGAAACTCAGATCTTCTCAGTAAAAAATAACTAAGATAATGTCTTTAAATTAAAATTTAAAATAGTCTTTGGGAAATAAAAACAATGAATCTGACATATAAATCAATAAGTTTCTTCAAAATAATCAGAAAAAGGACACATATTGACTGGGGTGAGAGGGAGGAATTCACTAAACGTGACCCAACTAAGCAATTAAAAAAAATCTTGAGGTTCCATGGAGTGATGCCCTTATTTCAGGGAAAAAAGCCTTTTTAAAAAGCCTGATGTTCTAATTTATCCAGCAAAGGGATGAAAATAGAGCGAGCTGCCATATAATATATTGCATTGATGTGTTTATACAGGTAGACCTCGTTTAGCAACTGCCTCACTTAGCGACCATTCACAGTAATGAAAATTAACTTTGAAATCAATCCTCACATTTGCAGGCCCATAAAACAAAGGAAAGCTGAAGTAAAGACATAATCACCATTGCCGTTTCACTTAGCAACCGCTTCACTTAACAACTGACTCCCCAGTCCCAGTTGTGTTTTCTATACAAAGACTGCATGGCAGTTCTTATTGATTAGATTTGTATATTGCATCTCAGAAAGCTCAGAAAGGATTGTGAAGCAGATAGAGACAGGTCTGCTTGTCGTCCTGCTAGGTCAGCCAGATCGCTTTACTTCTCAAAAAGGGCATATGCTGGTGCACCCAAATTAATCCCTTAATTCTGTCCAGTGTGCATGTAACCAAGATGACTCCCTCCATACCTGTGGCTATGTGAGTTTTCCCCTCTTCTTTCATTCGTCCTCCTCAGAAGTTCAGTCTCTCTTGCCAAAGGGCAACAGATCCTAAACAGGTATATCTCAGGTGAGTGGATGCCAAACAACCAGCCAGCTGGACAAGAACAGAGGCTCACAAGGCTGATGCCTGATATTAGCTGACAATATCCTGAGCCACACCCTGTGCCACCTACCAATGAATTTCTCAGCCACCCACAGGGCATCCCAGGGTGTTACAGCAAAATTGAGGCTAGTCCTGAATGACAGCCTGATTTGCTCTCCTGTATGGAGGGCA